ACACGGAAGAGCGCCCACCTAACGTTTAAGGCCTAGACCTGGAAAGTACAACACATCACCTCCATTCCCCAGCCATGGAATCATGTGGTTCACCTACCCACAAAGGAGGCTAGGAAATGTGTTCTCTGGCTGGGCAACCATCCAATTATCTTGGACAAATGGGAGAATGAATTTTGGTAGAAAACAGTGATGTCCACTACATGGAGTAGGCTCAGGAGTCCTTGCTGAACTCAGGGGTGAGAAAGTCAATACCTGCGTGTTCCCAGGAGCTCTCAGGCCCTTCTGCTACCGATCCACTGTCCCGCACACCTGGGAGGTTAGTTCTGTTCACCCTGTCGGGTAGACATCATCTTCTTCTGACATCATCAGTGGCTCCCAGCCATGGCAAGAAAATAGGACCACACCCAAAAAGGGCCCAACCGCCACACTAATGACCTTATGTTCTGCCACATACCAAGTTCACACCCTGGGTAATTACTCTTGACAAGACCTAAAACATCACCCTTTATGAATGGTTTAAACAACTAACATTCCTTAAGAAAAATTCAAAAGCAGGTTGTACAAAGTGCACAATTCCTGAGGCCTTAGACCCCTAAGAAACATCCCCACTTCCCCTTTCCTTCATATAAAGAGACAAAAGGATTGGGATCTATGAGATTTACTGTAGTGGCCTATTACAACCTTAATCCAAGGGAGTGAAGTTAATGGTGGAATTTCAGGTACAACATAAGGGGAGGGATTGGACACAGGGATACACCTTGGTCTCCTGGCGCATGGGGAGCCCAGACTGTACCCCAAACATCCAGTGTGCACTGTCCCTGGGTGTCTCTTAGTGAAGTGCATCTGGCCTATATACAGTATATATCTCTGCCCTAGGGGATCCGGGTGACAGCATACTCATCAGATAAATTAATTCCTGTTAACGTGCCAAGGAGAAGGGCCCTTCCAGGAAACCAGGGCCTCTCAGAGACAAGTTTGCCCTGTTTTCCATTAAAGTGTTTGTCACAGTGAAATATCAGGCCTAAGAGAGAAGAGCACCTAGGGGCTGCTCTTAATAAACTGAAACCCACAACCTTTAAAGTTTGACCCTGGAATGAAACTCTCCAACTAGGGGTCAGAGGACCAGCTCAGTCCCTTTAAGTCTTTCCTTCCCCCAAAGGGTAATTTGATTCAAAGGTGACAAGGTGATCAGATGGCATCCTCCACCTGGAGACCAGCCCATAACTAGGAAGCAGGAAGTCCCATTTCTAGAGGAAGGGGCAGTGCAGGTATTACAGAGCAAGAGCCAGAGGGTTGGAAGAGGACAGGCCTGGGGCAGAGCTCACCCTCCGGAGGCTGTACCTGCCCTGGGGCTGTTGGATGGTACTCATTTCCCTGTAACTCTTCCAGTTCCCATAGCCCACCAAGGGCTGTGTTAAACTGGGGCGAGGGTTTATGCAGTTAGCAAGTGAGACTTTAAATGTACTCCATAAGCTTTACCCTTTTCTTATGGAAATTTTCAAATGTACACAGAAGTAAGGAGACTCCTATACCCTCCATGTTCCCATGCCTAACTTTAACAATTGCCTATCTTGTTTTATCTATCAACCTTTGGGGATATTTTGGGGGGTGGGGGTGAGTATTCTGAGTATTTCGAAGCAAATCTCAGACATCTCACCCATAAATCAAATGGTACTGATTAAATGGTATTTGACATCCTACACACAAATAGTCGTCTCTACTTTCAACCATATCAGCTAGGGTTTTGAGCAAGGAGGTTGAGGTCCAATGGTATGGTCCAGACCCCTAGTTTTTTTGTTTGTTTGTTTGTTTGTTTGTTTGCGGTATGCAGGCCTCTCGCTGTTGTGGCCTCTCCCGTTGCGGAGCACAGGCTCCGGACGCGCAGGCTCAGCGGCCATGGCCCACGGGCCCAGCCGCTCCGCGGCATGTGGGATCTTCCCGGACCGGGGCACGAACCCGTGTCCCCTGCATCGGCAGGCGGACTCCCAACCACTGCGCCACCAGGGAAGCCCCAGACCCCTAGTTTTAATGACAATAACTCCGGAGAACTGAGCTACCCAACGTTGGTGCTAGAGTGGATACCAGGAAGAAGTCGGTCCTCCCGGTTGAGTGAGTGACGGCCCAGGCTGGTGACCGTTTCCCAGGCCCCGTCCCTGGGAGGGGGAGGGGTACCCTCCACTAACTGCTGGCAGGAAGAATCCCGGCTGTTCCCCGAACACACTTCTGGAAGCACAGACCTGGTGCGCGGCAGCGGGCCACGAATGCAGCCGGGTACTGGGACGTGCAAGCCGCGGTAACTGGAGCGGGGGATCCTGGGCGGTATACCCGGGTCTGGGGTGGCCTTGTAAAGAGAAGGGGGCCTGCTCCCACGACCGGTGGGATAACCCGGGGCCAAGGTCAGGCTGCGGCCCGGGTCGCCCCGCCGCCACCCCGGGTCCACGTGGGGAGCAGGCCGGCGAGGCTGGCGCGGCGCGCACGCCCGGAGCTGGGATCAGGAAGTAGCCTCCCGCGGGCGCGGCCCTGGGCGCGGCGCTGCAGGTGCCGATCGATGTGGCGCGGGCCGGCGGCCGGTGCAGAGGAGGGGGTAAGCGCGGGGTCGCCTTCGCGGCCAGGGAACGCCAGCCCCGGGGTCAGAGCTTGCGGCTGAGCCCGGCCTGGAGAGGAGGGTGTTTGGGGAGGGGGTGCTGACTTGAGGCTCGGATCCGGCCGCCGGGAAGGTCTCGAATCGGGGGTGGGGTGGGGTGGGGGCGCCGTTGGGGGTCTCCGACTCGGGAGAGGGATGGGGGCGGTGAAAGTAGGGGGAAGGAGGAGACTGCAACAAGGTTTTGGAAGTGTGAGCGGGACTAGGTAGAGGGACTCGGGGTAGGTTGGGGGCGGGGGTTCTCTAGACGCCGGGGAACGCGGGGTGGTCCTAAGGCTATGGGGACGCAGTCCTGCTCGGGGATGAGGGGCAACGTGAACCTGCAGATGAGCCGAGTCGAGGGGCGTTAAGCTCCTAGAGGATGTGGAGCAGGGGCGGAGGAGGGGGACTGGGGGGAGGAAGGGGGCCGAGGCTCTAGCACCCACAGGCACCTCCCGCGGCTACCGAGATCTAACACCAGCACCACCATCTGCGGGCAGGGAGCGCACAAGGGCTGCCAGGGACCCGACGCGAGCCTGACTCCGAAGGCCATTTCTCTGAGGCTGTGGCTTTAAGGGAGACGCTGGGCTTGCGGGCTCTTTAAGGAGGCGGTTGGGGGCGTGTCAGGAAATGAATCCTGGGCCCGCCTCGCCGGCGGGAGCGGCCTCGGAAGTCCGGAGGTTGCTGGGCGGAGCGAGGGCCGGCACCTGGGAAGACTGCGCGCCTTGGGCTTGTACCGGCACCTGGACCGTGAGCGCCTCTGACCTCGCCTGCACCCTCTTTCCAAACCCCCCGCACGCTCTCCTTTCAGCTCCTTGCATGCCCCCTCCCACCCTGCAAACCTTTCTCTCCCATAGCAGCCCATGCCTGTCTCTCTCAGCACCTCTTCACCACGCTGTCCCCCGCCCTTTTCTAACACCTCCGCCCTGCATTTCTCCCCCTTTTCCTTCCATATCTCTCCCCCGACACCCCTCTTCCTGCGAATCCTCCTTGCTAGGTCCCAGCCCCTTCTCCCCTGACCTGTCATCTCTGTCCAACCTTAGCCTGTCCCTCACCTCTTCCCTGTGTCTTGTCTCATGAACCCCCTCAGGGTGGCAGCAGGTTGTGGGACTCACCCCAGAGCAGAACCTCTCCATCCAGGAGAAGGGTGGGCGGCCTCCAGGCCACCCACCATGTGACAGTTGAGGACTTCAGCTTGCAGAAAGCAGAAGTGAGCTCACTGCTCCGTGTACTCCAGGAAATCAGTCTGGCTGTAGGGTGACCCAGCTCCTCTGCTACCATGAACAGGGCCTCTCTGAAGCGGTCAAAGATCCTGCACATGGCACTGATGGGGACTTCCGACCCCTCCGGAGAGGCAGAGGCCAGCCACGAGAAGCCCTTTGTGCTGCGGGCACTGCAGATCGCTCTGGTAGTCTCTCTCTACTGGGTCACGTCCATCTCCATGGTGTTCCTTAACAAGTACCTACTGGATAGCCCCTCCCTACAGCTGGACACCCCCATCTTCGTCACCTTCTACCAGTGCCTGGTGACCGCGCTGCTGTGCAAGGGCCTCAGCTCACTGGCCACCTGCTGCCCTGGTACCATGGACTTCCCCACCCTGCGCCTGGACCTCAGGGTGGCCCGAAGCATCCTGCCCCTGTCGGTGGTCTTCATCGGCATGATCACCTTCAATAATCTCTGCCTCAAGTATGTGGGTGTGGCCTTCTACAACGTGGGTCGCTCACTCACCACCGTCTTCAATGTGCTGCTCTCCTACCTGCTGCTCAAGCAAACCACCTCCTTCTATGCTCTGCTCACCTGCAGCATCATCATTGGTGAGTGGCCATCCAGGGCCACGGGGAATGGCTGTGGGCGGTGGGGGAAGATGGGGGCCAAAACCCTAAAGAATAACCCTGTCGACCATCTTTGACTTATCTGTCCCAGCTCCCTTGTCATGACAGTCATATGAGGAAGAGCCTGGGGTCCAGAGAAAGCAAGTAACTTTCTAGCAAGTTAGGGGCCCAATCAGGGCCCTTCAAACAAGATGGGATTCTAATCTACATTTCACAGAGGGAAAACCAAGGCACAGAGAGGTTAAGTAATTTGTCAAAGATCACTCAGCTAAGTGGCAGAGGTGGGATCTGATCTCAAGCAATCTGGCTCCTTACACTTGACCACTGTACTCTCTTGCTTCTCAAGACTTCAAGTGTCCCGACTCCCCATCCAGTGCTCTCTCTAGAGGACGTGGCATCTTGTAATAAATATACCATCACCGTCTGACCTTGCAGGCTTACAATAATGCCTGAGTCAGTGGCAAGAGATATGCTTTGAGATAACTTAGCCGTCTTCCCAGACTTGACCCTCAGAAAATAAAAATATTGATGGGGACATTGTGCTAATCATTCGCATACAGCATCTGCTATGTTCCCCAGATATCCCCTGGGTGGTAGCATCACCATGATCAACTCTACACAAACAAGGAAACTGACACTCAGAGAGGTTAAGTCACTTACCCAGAGCCCCACAGCTAGGAAGTAGCCATGCTGGGATGCAAACTCAGATTGGCCGGACCCCCAGGCCTGTGTTTCTAACCACTCTGCTCTGTTCTTGTCCCCTAGAGGTTAGAACTGCACTATCCAGTTCAGCAGCCACTGACCACATGTGTCTATTCCAATTCAAATTCAGTGAAATTTTTAAAATTCAGTTATTCAGTTGCAGGTGTTGTTACCAGATTCTGTAGCCACATTTCAAGTGCTTAGTTGCCACGTGTAGCCAGTGGCTACTGTATTGGACAGCACAGGTGACAGAACATTTCCATCATCACAAAATGTTTTATTGCAGCCCATTAGGTAAGAGCACCCCCAGCTTCCCACGCCCTCAGAGCCCTCCTGGGACTCAGTCATCCAGGAATATGGGATCTTTCTTTGAACCTGTTCAGGTTCTTCCTGGTGCTGCACATTTCATCTTGGTTGACCTACATATTCTCAGTTGGTGTCTCAGAGTCTCAGGCTGAGTTGCACTGGTTGCTGGGGAGAGGCCCATCCCAGGCCACCTGTCCTAGAAAATGTTCCCCTCGCTGAGCCACTTCGGGACCTAGGGCTGCCCAGTCTAGGTCCAAGGTTGGAGAGGGAGCAGGGCAGAGGTTGGAGTGGGGGGGAGCTGCTAAGACCCCTGGCAGATCAGGCTCGCCGCTCCCACTTCCTCCCGAAGGGAGCTGGTATAGGCTCCCAGGCCTCACTTAGCCAAATGCCCCAGGGATCTCCACTTCAGCCCTGCTGACCCTATAAGGGGTAGAGTGGGAGGGACCTCCTGGTTGGCAAATTTGCATGCCGACCAATGAAGTCATTAGGGAAACTAGGCCCAAGTCCCGAAAAGTAATCAAAGTAGCAGATGGTGAGATAGCTTCTGGGAAAGTGCATTCGCAGGCCAGCCTGATGGGGCAGGCGCCCTGTAGGCTGGTGCTCTGTGCTGGCCCAGCACCTGACTTCCTCTCCGCCCTGTTTCCCCTTCCTTCCTTACTCCTCGAGGGGGAAGATGAGTCTCAGGTGACTCTCCAGGCCTCCTGGGATTGAGACACAAAAGGTGCTGTGGAAACCCTGGTGGGGAGTGGGGAGGGAGGAATCTAAGCAGGCATTCCAGAGAAAGTACTAGATGGATATAAGGAAGGAGTGAGGAGAGAATGTTCTAGTCAGTAGAGAAAACATGTGCATTTCTGCATGGCTGGGCCAGAGCAAGATGCACCCATGAGGCTGCCCAAGTTAAGTGAGTCTGGACTATTTCCTGAGGGCAGTGGGGAGGCACAGAGGGGCTTTAAGCCAGGACAGGACCTGAGCAGATCTGTACTGTAGGAAGATCATTCTGTTTGCAAGGCGGAGAGTAGATTGATTGGAGTGGGAGGGTCAAGAACGTGACCCAGATCTCTGCAGCTGAAGGAAATGGGAGCTCAGAGAAGTTAAGTAAACTGTCCCCAGGCCACCCAGCCTCTAAACAGCAGAGCCTGATCAGAGCCCAAATCTCTCTGGCACCAAAACCACGTCGCGTCGCGGGCTGCTGTGGCGGGAGATAAAACATGTGTAAGATTCAGCCCCTGCCTTCTGGGAAGGTGGGGTCTAGCTAAAGAGACTGTACTGTCCCCATGGGCAGGTGTCTAGCAGCCCAGGGAAAGTAAGGGTCTTGAAGGAAAGCACAGCAGGAGGAGGCCAGGAAGAGGTCTGGGTGCTGGGGATATCAGGAAAGACTTTACCCCTGGAGAGACAGGCTTTGACCCTGAAGAATGAGTGGAATCTCCCAGGAAGGAGGAGGGTGTTTCTGGTGCAGTAAATGATCAAGGACACTGAGCTCTGGTGTGAGAAGCAGGGAGATGAGAGGGGACTCGGGGTGATCATGACATAGAGACACAAATTGTGGCAAGGGCGTGGGAAGCCCAGCATGCCAGGCTGAGGATCCTTGCAGACTTGGGGGGCAGTGGGGTGCCATGGAGGCTCTGTGAGCAGGAGATGTCACAACATGAGAGTCTCAGAAAGAGTGACTATCCCCAAAGACCTCAGGCCACAAGTGCTTCTAACCATTGTAAGCTCCCATTTTACAGACCAGGAAGCCGAGGCTCTGAGACCTTAAGTCGCTTTCCCAAGGTCACCTTAACCACTAAGTGCTGTATCTGTGCTCATCCTTCAGAGCTCATTTCAAATGTTGCTTTCCAGGTGCCCCCGGCCAGCACAGTCGCCCAGTTATGGGCTCTCACAGCACCCTGTACTGTTTTATGGACCTCATTACAATTGTAGTTAAAGAAGTAATTGGGAAATTACTTCTTTAATCGTTTTAATGTCTCTCTCCTCTGCCAGAATGTGAGCTCCATAAGGAAGGGTTCATGTCCTGAGTTACTTCCCCAGCCCTGCGTGGTGCTTAGCATGTAGTGGAGACTTTGCACATGTTTCTTGCAGGAAGAGCAGGGAGGATGGGATGATGGGGACAGCATTACACAGTCTGTGAACTTTGGTGGCAAAATTCTCTGTCCTTCGTCCTCCCCGCCCTCACCCCTCTCCTCCTCTCCCTACTATAGGTGGCTTCTGGCTTGGTGTGGACCAGGAGGGCGCAGAGGGTACCCTGTCTTGGACGGGCACCCTTTTTGGCGTGCTCGCAAGCCTCTGTGTCTCACTCAACGCCATCTACACCAAGAAGGTGCTCCCGGCGGTGGACGGCAGCATCTGGCGTCTGACCTTCTACAACAACGCCAACGCCTGCGTCCTCTTTCTGCCCCTGCTCCTGCTGCTGGGGGAGCTCCCAGCCCTCTACAATTTCCCCCAGCTGGGCAGCGCCCACTTCTGGGGCATGATGACGCTGGGCGGCCTGTTTGGCTTCGCCATCGGCTATGTAACAGGACTGCAGATCAAGTTCACCAGTCCCCTGACCCACAACGTGTCCGGCACAGCCAAAGCCTGTGCCCAGACGGTGCTGGCCGTCCTCTACTACGAGGAGACGAAGAGCTTCCTCTGGTGGATGAGCAACATGATGGTGCTGGGAGGCTCCTCCGCCTACACCTGGGTCAGGGGCTGGGAGATGAAAAAGATTCAGGATGAGCCCCGCCCCAAGGAGGACGAGAAGAGTAACATGGAGGTGTGAGCTTCTCCGGAGACCCTGCAATGGCCCGGCCCAGCCCGGGGAGAATGCCCGTGAATGAAGTGAAGGTGTCTCTCTGGACCCAGAGACAGTGGCCTTACAGACCTGATGGGAATCTGGTGGTTGAAATGGAACCAGTGTTTCCAAGTGATGTCAGAAAGTTGCCAAACCTGTCTCGACCCCCTTTCCTATTTCTGGGTTTTTGTCCTCCCCTAGGGAGGAAGGAACCCCCATGGGAAGAGCCAGTTAGGTTCTCTGGAAGAGCACCAGCTCTCTGGGAATAGGAGAGAGACAGCACCCCTTCCTGTCCCCCTGCCAGGGCCTCCTACCTCCACATGACCTTTGGGGTTGGGGACAGGCCACAACCTTTAAGGGACAGTATTGGCAAAGACATTACGTCTTCACTTGGACTCAGGGGAGATGGGGGTGTGACCCCACCACAGGCTTAGGATTTGGGAAACCTCACACCTCTGTGCCCCGGGGCAGGCAGCATAGCTTTGGCCCACCCCAAACCAGCCTTCTTTTGGAGGAAAAGTATAGGCTGGGCTGAGGGAGGAAATGAACAAACATTCTCTCTTCTCTGCATTGAGACCAGCAGCCCCCGTGCAAGGGGGTGAAGGATCGGGGGTACCAAGCCTGGCCCAGGCCCCTGCTCATTAACACCCTCCCGCAGTCGCTAACACCAGTTTTGCCCGCCTCACTCCCCTGCCCCTGAGGGGCAGCTGCCATCTGGCACAAACAACTACCTGGCTCAGGTAACAGCCCCCCAGAAGTGGAGGCAGGGAGCCACTTTGGCTTCTCCCAACTCTGCCTCTCCACAGAATGCTGATGGAGCCGGGGTCAGCTCAGAGCCTTCCACCTAAGCTGTTCTGGGCCCCCCAAGATCCAGGTCCCTGCAGGGCAGGTGTTGTAACCTGATCTTGATGAAGGTGTTAAGCTAACAATTACAAACTTCCCTGAGTTTGGGGCTGAAAGAATCTTCCCTTCCCCTCATCACACCCTCAGGGCTTGAGGGTGGCTTTCACAACTCCTGTCCCTTCTGTTGGGTGTTTTGTTCCACCAAGTGGAACAAAACTCCCTGGGGTAACTCCTGATGTCTTCAGCACCTGTAACGAAAGGCTGGGGAGAGTGGGGCTTCTCACAACTACTCTCTTCCCGTCCCCGCACAATCCCAGGTGGTTTCTAATGAAGTTGGTGGGGTCTGATGCCCTGAATTGTGTGTGATTTAATTAAAAATCAGAGTAAGACATCCTGTGTGTGTGCAGCGAGAAGGGACAGGCAGGGTCTGGCTGGGATTTATGAACGAAGGCTCATCCCTACCATTGCCAAGCCTGGGTTCTAGCAGGACAGCCCTTCTAAGAATCTGTTCTCCCTCCAGGCAAGGGGTTGATCCAAATACAAGACTCCTTCCAGACCTCAGGTTTCGTATTGGTGCCTGTTGCCATTTACCGGGCACTTGCTGGAGGCCAGACACTGCTGAGTCCTCTATTCCATCATTCATCTCCACAACCCTGCCATGCACCTTGAGGTGGGCACCATCGCTGATCCCCCATTTTACAGATGAGGACACTGAGGCTCAAGGAGGAGCACAGGAAGGAAGAAGCAGCAGTAGGATTCAGACGGAGGTCTCTGCCTTCAGAGCCCAGGCACCCAGCAATTTTTGAGCATCTAGTACGTGCCAGGCACTGTGGTAGAACATACTGGTATGAAGACCCAAATCTGCTTCAAGGGTCTCAAATATAAACACACATCAAGGTCCTCATAACAGATGCAGTATTGCCCTGAGGTCTCAGAAGATGGAGAGACCAAGTCTTCAGAAGGGCCAAGATGTTTGAACTGAATATTACTGGGCAAGTAGGGGGCTCCAGGAGCAAGGGTAGACTGGCCCAGGAAACAAGGTTAAGCTGAGGAAAGAGCACATGGCGGGTGGTGAGAGGTTTTTTTTGGGGGGGGGGGGGGGGGAATAGAAAAGGAGGGGGGGCCATGGCATGAACAGCCTTGAATGCAGTGGTCAATGTGGACTTGATTCTAAACGATTTTAAAACCATCACCAGGTCCCTTAAACAGAGAAGGGACATAGTCGTTTCTTCACCCTTTGTGTGATCAGAAAATTGAGATAACATTCTTAATGTTAGTTGCACTTTGGGGGGGGGGGGGAGGGTGAATAGAAAAGGAGGGTGGGCCATGGCATGAACAGCCTTGAATGCAGTGGTCAATGTGGACTTGATTCTAAACGATTTTAAAACCATCACCAGGTCCCTTAAACAGAGAAGGGACATAGTCGTTTCTTCACCCTTTGTGTGATCAGAAAATTGAGATAACATTCTTAATGTTAGTTGCACTTTCTTGAACAAGATTCAAGGAAAACCTAAGTAGTTTGAAAAAAATTTAGGCAGCCTTAACTCTCAGGACACAACTGAAACTGAACAGCCTACTGTGCAAGACCCCCACACAGAAAAGCACAAAGATGTGCAGTGCCAGCATCCCAGCCTCTCCCACAGTCAGCACCATTGCCCCCAGCTCATCTCTATGGTATTTAAAGGAGCCAAGACCACCTCCAGGAATGTTTCCCCTGCAAGCAGCAGAAGAGGTGCTCCTTCCCCTGCAAACCCACTGTTCCCCTTCTCTCTTGTCCCTTTTTTTTTTGAACAAATTGTCTTTTGTTCGTGACATACAAATAACAACCAATGGAAAAAGATCACTTTCTCCCTTTGATTCCAGTGATAACAAGTTGCTAAAGAAAAAATGTATCTATCAAGAAGGAGTTTCTCTTCAAAGTTTCCTCTAAAATAAAAAGCCAGGAAGGGTTAAAAAGAACCATATAAACGTCATATACACATCTGACATCAACAAAGATAACCAGAAATAGGGTGGATACAACTAAAAAAAAAAAAAAAAAAAAACTCAGTATATTTTAACTTGCCCCAAACAACAAACAATAAAAAAAAAGCCTGGTACAAAAGACAGCGATGTGGAAGTCAGCCTGCCCAGCAAAAAAAAATTGGTGGGTGAAGATGGAGAATTTAGGAACAGTGAGCTGGGCCCACACTGCAACACACCTCTGCTTCAGAATGCATCGCTCTTCACTTCTGTTTTTGAAGAGCACTTGACCAGGAGTCAGGAGACCTGGGTTCCACTTAGAAGCTAGGGAGCCTCAGGCAAGTCCCCTAACCTTTCCAGGCCTCACTTTTCCTATCTGAGATATGGGGATAATCCTTGTCCATCCTGCCACACAAAATGATTGTGAATTAATGCTCAGCATCATTCTGGAACTACAGTGAGCTATTGTTCTTACCAACATCAACAAACAACAATCTCTTGGAGTATTAACTATGCATCAGGCACTAGGGAAACAAACAGTGGACAAGACACTAAAAACAAGTAAAATAAATACAGCCTGTTGAGGACAATGAAGAAAACAAAAAAGCCAAAATGGAGAATATCAGAGGGGACCCTCCTCTAGACAAAAGAATCAGAGAAGGCCTCTCCCTGAGCACATTTAACCTCAGACCCAAATGATGGGAAGCAGCCATCCATAGGAAGAGCTAAAGAAAGGGCATCCCGGGACGTCCCCGGTGGTGCAGTGGTTAAGAATCTGCCTGCCAATGCAGGGCACACGGTTCGATCCCTGGTCTGGGAAGATCCCACATGCCGCGGAGCAGCTTAGCCTGTGCACCACAATTACTGGGCCTGCGCTCTAGAGCCTGCAAGCCACAAGCACTGAGCCCATGTGCCACAGCTACTGAAGCCCGCGCGCCTAGAGCCTGTGCTCTGCAACAAGAGAAGCCACTGCAATGAGAAGCCCATGCACCGCAATGAAGAGCAGCCCCCTCTTGCTTCAACTAGAGAAAGCCCGCATGCAGCAACGATAGACCCAACGCAGCCAAAAATAAAATTAAAAAATAAAAAAAAAAAGAAAGAAAGAAAGGGCATCCCAGGCAGAGGTTACAGCCCATGCAAAGGCCCTGAGGAAAGAAGAGTTGGGTGTGGTCCAGAACCAGAGAGAAGTCCAGGCAGGTAGGAGCAGAGTTGGGGAACCAGCTATTCCCAGGGGACAAAAATCCCAGGAATAAGGACTTCCCTGGTGGCACAGTGGTTAAGAATCTGCCTGCCAATGCAGGGGACACAGGTTCGATCCCTGGTCCGGGAAGATCCCACATGCCATGGAGCAACTAAGCCTGTGCACCACAGCTACTGAGCCTGCGCTCTAGAGTCCACGAACCACGACTAATGAGCCCACGTGCTACAACTACTGGAGCCCACGTGCTACAACTACTGGAGCCCACGTGCTACAACTACTGAAGCCCGCGTGCCTAGAGCCCATGGTCCGCAACAAGAGAAGCCACCACAATGAGAAGCCCACGCACCACAACGAAGAGTAGCCCCCGCTCGCCACAGCTAAAGAAAGCCTGCATGCAGCAACAAAGACCCAATGCAGCCAAAAATAAAAATAAATAAATTTGTATTAAAAAAAAATCCCAGGAATAGGAAAGGCGGAAGAGACAGACTTGGCAACTTTCTGACATTACTTGGAAACACTGGCTCCTTTTGGTTCCACTCACCATGGGGTGGAAAGAGAGGAGGTCAGAGACCAAGTTCCAGCTGGGGAGCACCCTACTGACCACAGCAAGGAGGTTAGATTTATTCTCAGTGCCTGGGGAAGCCACTGGGAGTGCCATGACTGGTTTATAGCTTAAAAAGTTCCCTCTAGCTGCTGTGAGGAGAATGAATTAGATAAATCATTAACCTCTCTGATCCTTTTCCTCATATGAAAGAAAAGAAAGTTGTTCTAATTAAGAGATAATATGTTGATTTAAGGAGTCAACATACATGAAATTTAGTTACTAGATGAGAAAACTGAGGCCCCAAAGGGTCAAATGACTAGTCTGGGACACCAATGACAAAACAGAGTGTGGTACTCAGCCCTGCTGGCCCCCCTGTCTGATTTGCTTCCCACAGCTGCCTCACCAGATGCAGCCCTCGCCCAGCCCATCCCCCCACCCCCCAAACCTTGGCTCCTGTGAAAGGGCTAAATTAAGGACCTGAAACCAGCTGAAATGGGACAGCAGAGCCTGCTGCACTGAAGCACCTGGTCCAGGTGTGCTGGGAGCTTAGGTGAAGGAAGGCTATGGGTGGTGTGGGGCAGGGAGGGGTGGTTAGTAGCATGGCGACGACAG